ATGAGTGCACTATGTGTGTATTGTACTTTTTTGTTGTTTTTTGATGCCTGGTTCTATTGCTAACTTAATTTATGTTAGTGTAAACTTGTTATCTAGTGTTTGTATGCATTTGTAAGTAGAAAAAAAGGGTGTTCCACTTTACGGCGGTTTCCGCTTTACGGCGGTAGCCTGGAACCTAACCAGCCGTATAAGTGGGGCCCTACTGTATATATTTGAGGTGCTACGCGAGAGAACGTATATATACGTTTGGACCGTTTAAGGGTTAAAACTTCGCCAAAATTCTAGCGGCTTCAAATCTTGCGGGAGAAAGCTGGTAGGCCTATGTACGAGAGAATGGGTCTGAAATTGAGTTTAAAGTAGGGGAACTGTTTGATTTTTGACAATGTTTAAGAATAAACAAATCACATCATGCATCCAATACACATCAACTGGTGGGTCTAATATACATTCACAAATGCACTGATATTTTTTTTTTTTTTTTCAACAAGTCGGCCGTCTCCCACCGAGGCAGGGTGACCCAAAAAAAGAAAGAAAATCCCCAAAAAGAAAATACTTTCATCATCATTCAACACTTTCACCACACTCACACATTATCACTGTTTTTGCAGAGGTGCTCAGAATACAACAGTTTAGAAGCATTTTACGTATAAAGATACACAACATATCCCTCCAAACTGCCAATATCCCAAACCCCTCCTTTAAAGTGCAGGCATTGTACTTCCCATTTCCAGGACTCAAGTCCGACTATATGAAAATAACCGGTTTCCCTGAATCCCTTCACTAAATATTACCCTGCTCCCCACCCCCAACAGAAACGTCAGGTCCCAAGTATCATTGTCTCCATTCACTCCTATCTAACACGCTCATGCACGCTTGCTGGAAGTCCAAGCCCCTTGCCCACAAAACCTCCTTTACCCCCTCTTTCCAACCCTTTTGAGGACGACCCCTACCAGTCCTTCCTTTCCCTGTAGATTTATATGCTTTCCATGTCATTCTACTTTGATCCATTCTCTCTAAATGACCAAACCACCTCAACAACCCCTCTTCTGCCCTCTGATTAATGCTTTTATTAACTCCACACCTTCTCCTAATTTCCACACTCCGAATTTTCTGCATAATATTTACACCACACATTGCCCTTATACAGGACATCTCCACTGCCTCCAACCGTCTCCACTGATATTATTTATACAATTATGCAGTAGTCTGAATAACAGTAAATCATCTATTTCTTGTGTGAATAAATTTTCAAAATGAAAAGCAAGCGTAATATAAGAGGATCCTGGAGATGTGGCTAATGAACAGAGAAAATGTTATTTTAGTGCCAGGAATGTCTGCACTGTTTATTCTGGCCCCTATTTTGAAATGGGCTTACCTTGAATTTTGTGAAATTGACCAAATCAGTAATTAATGATCTCATTTTTGTGTAGTTGAAACAGGTAAATGGGTGGTTTCAATAAAATAAATAGGTAAATGGGCAGTTTCAATAGAATAAAAATAGTTCGTGAAATAGTTACAAGTTTGGTCGAGTGGAACAAAGGAATTGGACCAAAACAGGGCTCAAAGTGGGTGAAATCGCCAATGTGTAAATATCATCAAGACAGCTAACTTCACGAGAGCATAATTCCATAACTTTTCCATCAAATTTTGAACTTTTGGTTTCATTACCTTCAGAAAAAGATTCTCAATCATTTCATATGATTTTTTTTTTTTTAATTCTTTGACACTATGAGCAAATTTGTAAGCAGGGGTCTCGACACTCAAAGGTTAAGAGAAGTTGCAAAGGTTGGTGGACAAATTTGGGAGGGTATGTAAAGGAAGAAAATTAAAAGTGAGCACAGGAAAGAGCAAGGTGATGAAGGTAACAAATGAATTAAGTAATGAAAGACTGGATATAAGAGCAGAAAGAGGGACCATGGAGAAAGTGAATGGGTTCAGATATTTGGGAGCGGACATGTCTGTGAATGGGTATATGAAAGATGTGAACCACAGAATTGATGAAAGGAAAAGAGGTGGGTGGTGCACTGAGTTGTGAAAACAAAGGTGGGTGGTGCATTGAAGCATATGTGGAGGCAAATAGAGGAATGTATGAGAGGACAGTAGTACCAACACTCTTATATGGATGTGAAGTATGGGTTATGGATGTTGCAGCGAGGTGGTGGTGGTGGTCAGAGGCAGTGGAAATGTCGTGTCTGAGAGTAATGTGTGGTGTAAATATTATGCAGAAAATTCATAGCTGGAGATTAGGAGGTACAAATTAACTAAAAGTTTTATCCAGAGGGTTGAGAAGGGGTTATTGAGGTGGTTTGGACATTTAGAGGATAGAGCAAAATAGGATGACTTGGAGGGTGGATAAATCTGTAGTGGAGGGAAGGTGGAGTAAATGAAGTTTTTTGTGTGCATGGGGCTTGGACATCCAGCAGGTGTATGCAAGTGTGTTAGATAAGAGTGGAGACAAATGGATTTTGGGACATGCCCTGCCAAACTGCAAACAGTGAATTTAATTTTCCTTAGTCTCTGATAAGAAGAGTACATTAAATATGTTGTAAGTGCAGAAAATCCCACCACCACCTTAAAGAGAGGCATATGTTCCTATGCCTCAGGTATGTCAGATACAATAGAAGGGAGAGAGGAAATGAGAGAAAATGAATTTGCAATAGAAAAGGTGACCTAACTCTTGTGAACATAATACACAGCTTTGTATTTCATAAAAAATTAACTGAAATTAGATTCAGAATGCAGACGAGTTTCAGACTTACACAAAGTTCAAACTTAACCCTATGACTGTTTCGGTTGTATATATACGCCTTACAAGGTACCGTGTTTGACGTATATACTCATAAATTCTAGCGGCTTCAAATCAAGCAGGAGAAAGCTGGTAGGCCCACATGTGAGAGAATGGGTCTGTGTGGTCAGTGTGCACCATATAAAAAATTCCTGCAGCACGCAGTGCATAACGAGAAAGAAAACTTCAACCATTTTTTTTTTAATTAAAATGCCGACTTTGTGGTCTATTTCCGTATAGTATTTATGGTTGTATTCTTATTTTCTTGATCTCATTTGATAGAATGGAAAACATATTATAGAAAGAGAGGTGATGTTGATTGGTTTTACTATAAAAAGAACCTGGAAATGGAGCTCAAAGTAGGGGAAATGTTTGATTTTTGCCAATGTTCACAAGTAAACAAATGATGTCTTTGTCCAATAAATGTCCAACTAGCCATTCTAATATGCAGTCATGAATGGGTTGACATTATTTGTACAATTATTACAATATTGCAGTAGTCTGCATAACAGTAAATCTTCTATTTGTTGTTTGAATAAAAATTCAAAATAGAAAGCAAGAGTAATATCAGAGGGGCCTGGAGACATGACTGACAAACAAAGAAAATGCTATTTTAGAGCCGGGAAAATGTCTGCTTTGTTCATTCTAGACCTTATTTTGAAATTGTCATACTTTTTAATTTTCGTGAAATTGGCCAAATTGCAAATTTCTGACCACGTTATTGGGTAGTTGAAATCGATAAATGGGCATTTCTTGTTTCTCAATCGTATAGAAAAATTGAGTTTTTAAAGAAATGGCTATGAGTTTGGTTGACTGGAACAATGGAATTAGCTGAAAATAGGGCTCAAAGTGGGCGAAATCACCGATTTGTAAATATCGCCGAGGTCGCTAACTTCGCGAGTGTAATTCCATCAGTTTTCCATCAAATTTCGTTTTTTTTGGTGTCATTACAATTGGGAAAAGATTCTCTATCATTTCAAAAGAATTTTTTTTTTTTTTTTTTTTTTGGAAATTTTGCGACACCAGGAGACACCTCAGGATTGGGGGTTGCGACAATCAAGGGGTTAATTACTGCATTTTTTTATTTAACCCTTTTACCGTCACTCACTTAGATCTGTGCCAACTAATAGACCAGAAGATGTAATAATGAAATGGAGATGATTGTGGTTAGTTACAGATCATAAGTGACCTGAAATAGGCCTCAAAGTGGCCTTTTTGCGAAGGCTACTTCATAAAATATATAATTCATTAATGTTAAGCACTAAATCCCTGTGGGTCACTCACCACAAGACATGGTGAAGGCTTGATCCTCTGTCTGCTCAGAATCAGACAAACATGCTTCCTATTTGTACTTACCTAGATGTATGCCTTGCAACATAGCCAGATACATACACACACACACTCATCTCTCTTGTCAGAGTTCATAGGTTCAAACCTTAAGTATTAATACGTTAAGTCTACTTAAATTACTGGGACAGCCTAACCTATGACCAGAAATGGGAAAAAAAAATTTGTGCAATGGAGTCAAAATGGAGAGCAAGTGTTATACAGAAGCCAGGGGCTTTATTAATGAAGAAGTTAAGGTTACTTTAATGGCTGGAATGCTTATTGTTTTTGTTTTGAACTTTGGAACCAATTAATGACCTGTGAACACTGACCTGCTCTTCTGATACACAGTGAGAGTACATATATCTGCTGCTGTTTTAACAATATCTCTTTAAATATTACGACAAACTGGTTTATATTGAAAGCATAGCCAGAAAGCAGATATATTTTGGCATGGAAAATCTAATGAACATATTTTGAATGAAATCTTATGACTGGTTTCAATTTAAGAGTCTTGTGTCAAGTCAAAGGAAAATGGACACCCAACCAGAAAAAGATCAGTTGTGCTGACACACAGGTAGAACTAGTGAAAGGAGGGAGGAAAGAGCAGTCAAGAGATATGTATTCAAAGGTTAATTTAATTTTTTAACAAAATCTCTCTCAAAAGATTATTGTAAATTGTAATATATTGACATCTGTAAGAAAGACTGACTGGAAAGAGAGCAGATCTGGGCATGGGGAAATAAAATGAAAATTGATATAAAAAACTAAATACAGAACAACCCAAATTACCGTGGAGCCAATTAGATGACCACTATCAAATAAGGAAAAATATCAGTAAATTAATCACTAATAGTCAAAGCAAGAAACAAGACATGTTAGTAAGCACCTTTAATTTTTCTGTTAGCTGTGCAACTTGTTCACTTTGAACAGACTGCTTCTCTAACAATTCAACAAGCTCCTTTTGAGTAGTTTCACAAACTTCCTTTATATGAGCTAATTCATCTTCTGAAGTGTTTAATGTTCTGGAAAAGAAGAAAAAATTATCAAAAACTGAAATTTCACAGTTGCAAATGTAACATGTTGAGAGAGAAGAGGAATTGTACAGGAAACAACCCACCATCCTCAAGGTGTGAGGTGTTGGCTACTGTACCACTAATTATATGGGTTGCAACAAGCCCCATTATTGCCTTAAAGATTTTTTTTTATACAACTACCAATGATAATATGGGTGCACAATAACATCTGATCACATGAACTTTTATGCCTAAGAATACAAACCAAAGTTTCACACTAATGCATTGTGAATTTAACGGTACATTATGAAGGAGGAACTTTAAGGAAAGAATCTTTACCTCATGCTTGAGGACAGGAAGTGGAATCTCATACAACTCCTCCCTACATACAAGATGGTGTGAAGCTAAAGTTTGTATTGATGAGAATGAAGAGCCATATCATCAACCTTTGTCAGGCAACCAATTTATCATCAGCAGTCTAGCAAAAAACAATAATTTGGAGTAATAACCCACAGATTCCAATTCTGATCATGACTGCTTAAGTGATAAGTGGTAGTAAATGCTGCAAATTTCATACTGTCTTATTTGCATACTTGTTAGTATAATTTACCCTTAATATTCAGTGGCAGCATCTTCGCCTTACAAACTTGAGCACAGCAAGTTGATTCTGTAAAATTCATCTCTCCTCAAATATATAGGAAATTTACATTCTATACCAGAACAGTATGTTATTAACATATTACAAATAAAGTGTCTAAGGAGATACAACACTTACCTTTCTAAATCTGCTAGTTTTGTGACAGCATCTAACTTTTCCTGTAGAACTCGTCTCAAGGATTCTTTGGCAGTGGTTTCATACTGACCCTTCTCATCCAGTAGTCTCCTCATTTCCTCTCGAACACTGTCTTCAGGGTAATTCTGCATGAGAAGATGTACTTTTAACCCTTAAACTGTCCAAACGTAGATCTACATTCATATGCGTAGCACTCCAAATGTAGATCTACTTTTTTACATAAGAAAGAATGTAAAATCAAACAGATCCACGTTCGGAGCGCTATGCGTGTTAACATAGATCTACATTTGGACGGTTTAAGGGTTAAAAGGCATTATGTTTTAATACACTCATCTTTGCAAGTTATGAATATACAGCAAAACCCTGCCTTTCATACACCCACCTACTGCATTTCCACTACTTAGTGATTCACATTTTGGGTCCTATCTTCAGTTTATGCTGCAAATTTACTCAGCTTTCACACTGGCAGGATATTTTGATAAATACAGTTTTGATTTTTGAATTATAATAATTATTTTTTCTGAGTTTTTACCAAATGCATTCATACTTTGTGAAAAATACTGTACAAAAAGGTAATTTTCAAAAAATCCCACTGTTGATTAGTCTTCTCCATTTACTCTCTTGTTCATGTGTCTTCAAATCTGGTCAACACTGGGATTCGTAAGAAAGAATTATCAGAAAGAAAACAGATTTGGTTATGGGAAATAAAATAACACATTCTGAAAAAATCTTTGTTTTTAATTATTAACCCTTAACTCTTTCTCTGTCCAGACCTCTGAAATTAATATTTGGTTTTAGGACAAAAAAAAGTACAAATGATACAATTATGAAAATGCTTGAACAGCCTTATGCAGCTTTTAAAAGTAACTAATATCCTCTGGGCCTCTACACAGACCTGCAGCAAGCTTTCAATACAGTTGACCAGAGGTCATACTTATCAACTCAGCCTGTTAAAATAGGAGTGCCTCAGAGCAGTGTTCTTGGCATTTTGCTCTTCCTCATATACATCAATGATCTCTCCAATGCATCTCATCTTCTTGAACCTGTTCTGTTTGCAGATGACAGCTCCTGTCATCTCCCACTCAAATCTTACTTCTCTCAATAACATTGTTAATGACAGGCTAAAAACATCTACATAGATGGCTACCAACAAACTCACTCTTAACACTGACAAAACCTACTACAGAGCTTCAAATATCCAACTAAGCATAATGATCAACAGTTCTCCCATTGTAGGAAACAACAAGGGTAAATTCTTAGGTCTACACCCTGACTGAAACTTTAAATTTAATAAACACATCCAGTGAAGTGGAAGTTGTCAAAGTTGCTCTATGCCTATGACAGCTCTTGAAAAATTCTGAAGAGAAATTGCAAAGTTCAGTAAATGAGTTTGGGTGTATAAAAGAAAGGAAAAATAGAAAAGAGCAGTGATGAGAGTAACAAAAAGTTTAGGTAATCAAAAATTGGACATCAGAGTAGAGGGAGGGACTATGGAGGCAGCAAATGTGTTCAGGTAATTGTAGACATGTAACAAGATGACTAGACCAGGGATGACGAGAAAGGAAAGTGCAATGTTGAGGTGTATGTGGGCAGGAGAAAGTGGAGGGAAAAAAAAGGGAGGGGGGGCATGCCTAGGTTTTAAGTATTACAGTGAGGGGCAGCTGAAGGGAGTGGATATGCCATTTTCGAGGGTGATGTGTGATATGAAGAAACCAGAGCATAAAAATTAGAGTGTGAGGTTATGAAAGGTATAATTCAGATGGCAGAGGAGGGGCTGTTGAGGTGGCTTAGACATTTTGAACATTCAGAGAGGATGGAGCAGCATAAGATGATCAAGAGGGTATATAAATTTGGGGTGGAAGGAAGAAGTGGTAGAGGTTTGTCTCAGGAAGAGCTGAAGGATGTGAAGGAGACATGTGAGAAAGTTATATCAGAATGAATGGAGACAAGTGGTTTTAATAATTTGATATGCTCTCAGAATGTGAACAAGGTAATATTTATAACAAGATCCCAGGAAACTAGTTAGCCAGACTCCTTCAAAATGCCAGCACTCTGAAGAAGGTGTGGGCATGTTGTAGTTCAAAGGGTCATTTGAGTTTTTTAATTGTGCTGTCTGCTCACTTCTGGTGGGTGACAGTCGGTATTTTACAAAAAATTACAGCAATATACAAGGAGTTTACCTTGGCATATGTAGAAAGTTGAGCCTCAAGAGTTTCAAGTCGCTGAAGTAATCGATCTTCATCAATCATTGCTTTCCAACTATGAGTAGCTGCTTCCTGTTAAAGATAATTAAACTGAGATATTATTCATCAATAATTTATTAAAGTAGATGCTGAATGTGACAAAATTTGCAACATAGTATTTACTATTTTAATTAAACATGATAAAAAAATATTGGCTGGTGCATGGAGGCATCTGTGAAGACAATGTTATCCATGGAGGCAAAAAGGGGAATGTATCAGAGTATAATGGGTGTGAACCATCGGTTGTGAACGTTGCAGCAAGGAGAAGGTTGGAGGCAGGGGAGATGATGTGTCTGAGGCCAATGTGTAGTGTAAATATTATGCAGAGAATTTGTAGCTTGGGAATTAGGAGGTGAAGAGTTACTAAAAGTATTGTCCAGAGAGCGGAAAAGGGGCTACTGAGGTGGTTTGAGCATTTAAAGAGGATGGAGCAAAATAGGATGACTTGGAGGGTATATAAATCTGTAGTGGAGGGAAGGCGGGGTAGAAGTTGATGGAGGGAGGGGGTAATAGAGGTTTTGTGTACGAGGGGCTTGGACAACAAGCAAGCGTAAGAATTAGATAGGAGTGGAGGCAAATATTTTTGGGGAACTGACGAGATGTTGGAGTATGAGCAAGGTAACATTTTGCGAAAGGATTTAGGGAAACTGGTTAGCCAGACTTGGAAGCATGAAGTACGTACAGTGCATGTACTCTGAAGAAGGGGTGGGGATATATGCACTTTGGGCCTCTGAACTGTAGTACAGTGGACCCCCGACATTTGATGGCATCGACATTCGACAAATCCGACATTCGATGCATTTTAACGCAAAAATTTCGCCTCGACATTCAATGGAAAACCCGACATTTGATACGATTCGTACGAGACGTGTCCATGTGTGGCCTGAACTGCCCCATGTGTGCCAGTGTTTACAAGCCAGCCAGTGTGCGCGCATCTAAGGATACATTCGGTATATTCCATATTATCACTGTTTTTGGTGCTTGTTTCTGCAAAATAAGTAACCATGGGCCCCAAGAAAGCTTCTAGTGCCAAGCCTTTGAGAAAAAAGGCACTAATGACTATTGAAATGAAGAAAGAGTTAATTGCAAAGTACGAAAGTGGAGTGCGTGTGTCGGAGCTGGCCAGGTTGTATAGTAAACCCCAATCAACCATCTCTACTATAGTGAGCAGGAAAACGGCAATCAAGGAAGCTGTTGTTGCAAAAGGTGCAACTTTGTTTTCGAAACAGAGATCGCTAGTGTTAAAAGATGTTGAGAGACTGTTACTGGTGTGGATAAATGAAAAACAGATAGCAGGAGATAGCATCTCTCAAGCGATCATTTGTGAAAAGGCTAGGCAGCTGCATGATGATTTGGTAAAGAAATTGCCTGCAACTAGTGGTGATGTGAGTGAATTTAAGGCAAGCAAAGGTTGGTTTGAAAGACTTAAGAATCGTAGTGGTATACACAGTGTGGTAAGGCATGGTGAGGCTGCCAGTTCGGACCAAAAAGCGGCTGAAAAATATGTGCAGGAATTCAAGGAGTACATAGAGGCTGAAGGATTGAAACCTGAACAAGTGTTTAATTGTGACAAAACAGGCCTGTTTTGGAAGAAATTGCCAAGCAGGACCTACATTACTCAGGAGGAAAAGGCACTCCCAGGACATAAGCCTATGAAAGACAGGCTTACTCTTCTGATGTGTGCCAATGCTAGTGGTGATTCACTGGTGTATCACTCAGAAACTCCCAGAGTATTCAGGCAAAAGAATATCCTCAAGGCTAATTTGTGTGCTGTGGAGGGCAAACAGTAAGGCATGGATCACTAGGGACTTTTTCTATGACTGGTTACACCATGCATTTGCCCCAATGTGAAAAATTACCTAACTGAAAAGAAATTAGACCTTAAGTGCCTGCTGGTATTAGACAATGCCCCTGGTCATCCTACAGACTTGGCAGAGTGACTTTCTGGGGACATGAGCTTCATTAAGGTCAAGTTTTTACCTCCTAATACCACTCCTCTCCTGCAGCCCATGGACCAGCAGGTCATTTCCAACTTCAAGAAACTGTACACAAAATCTATGTTTCAAAAGTGCTTTGTAGTGACCACAGAAACTCAACTGACTCTAAAAGAGTTTTGGAAGGATCACTTTAATATCCTCAATTGTATAAACCTTATAGGTAAGGCTTGGGAGGAAGTGACTAAGAGGACGTCGAACTCTGCTTGGAAAAAACTGTGGCCAGAATGTGTCGACCCAAGGGATTTTGAAGGGTTTGAGGCTAACCCTGAGAATCCTATGCCAGTTGAGGAATCCATTGTCGCATTGGGGAAGTCCTTGGGGTTGGAGGTTAGTAGGGAGGATGTGGAAGAGTTGGTGGAGGAGGACAATGACGAACTAACCACTGATCATCTTCAACAGCAAGAGGCCAGACCTGAGGAAACTGCTTCGGAGGAGAGGATAGAGAAATTGAAGAAGTTGACTACTTCAAAGATTAAGGAAATGTGTGCAATGTGGCTTAAAGTGCAAACCTTTTTTGATGAAAATCACCCTGACACAGCTACTGCAAGCCGTGTTGGCAACCTGTACACTGACAATGTTGTGAACCACTTCAGGAAAGTCATAAAGGAACGAGAGGTACAGGCCTCTATGGACAGATATGTCGTGCGACAGAAGTCCAGTGACTCTCACGCTGGTCCTAGTGGCATTAAAAGAAGAAGGGAAGTAACCCCGGAAAAGGACTTGCTGCCTCAAGTCCTAATGCAAGGGGATTCCCCTTCTAAACACTAACACCATCCACACTCTTCCCTCCTCCCATCCCATCAATCATCACCAGATCTTCATTAAAGGTAAGTGTCAATTATTCTATTGTTATTAATCTATTGTTATTGTTGTTATTGTAATTATTCTATTGCATTAAACTTAATATTTCATGTGGTAAAATTTTTTTTTTTTCATACTTTTGGGTGTCTTGCACAGATTAATTTGATTTCCATTATTTCTTATGAGGAAAATTAATTCGACTTTCAATATTTTCGACATTCGATAGCTCTCAGGAACGGATTAGTATCGAGTGTCGAGGGTCCACTGTATTGGTATACCTCTGGCAAGACAGTGAAAGAGTGAATGATGGTGAAAGTGTTCTTTTTTTGGGTCACCCTACCTTGGTGGGAGAAGGCTAGTGTGTTTAAAAAAGAAATTTAGAACCTTATCACAAACATTTCTGCAACTGTAAAGAGAATTGCAATCTATGACAAAACTAATAAACAAAACAATTACTGTTTTAGGTTTATGGAGAGGGTTAGACAAATATACAATACAATAAAATTAAAGAATGTAAGTTCTAGTAAAAAGCACTCTTCATAGATCATCTTGACAGATTTATACTGTGATAATTATCCACCCTCTTCTACCTTATCTAACAGATTTATACTGTGATAATTATCCACCCTCTTCTACCTTATCTAACAGATTTATACTGTGATAATTATCCACCCTCTTCTACCTTATCTAACAGATTTTCTGTATGAAACTGTAGCCAATATAAAAATTACTTTGAAAACACCTTTCTCAAAATCTAGGGACAAACAAAACAAAAAGCAAACAATTTAACTCTTCAAAAACAAGCAAGGCATTCTATTGGACACTGATACTGCTTTCCCATAATTTGAATCAAACTAGTGAGGTACATCCCCAAGATCCACTGTCAGGACCCCTAAAATTAAAAGTACTAACAAAATCAGGGTTTAACAAAAAATCTAAAATGGTAGAGAATCTTTTTCTGAAGGTAATGACACCAAAAATGTGAAAACTGATGGAACACCTACTGAATTATGCAGACATAACTGGTGGTCTGGACACAAACTACACATTGGCAATTTTGACCACTTTGTGTCCTATTTTAAGCCAATTCCATTTCCCCCTTCAACCAAATTTTTAGCTATTTCACTAGTATGCCTTCCATTCTATCAACTAAGCACAAGAAACTGCCATTCAGCTATCAGAACTACCCTATAAAGTGCACAGAAGTCAGTAATTTGGCCAATCTTACATAAAATTCAACAAATTCCAGTTTAAAAACAGAATCCAAAGTAAACACTGTAGGCATTCCAGCACCAAAAGCAACTTATCCTTTGTTCATTAATCATGTCCCCAGGCTTTTCTTATATTACACTTGTCCCCCATTCTGAGTCCACCACACAAAAAAGTATTGCAGTTTTGCCATATTTCTGAGACAATAAATATAAACAGGAATGACTGGTCATGGCTTAGGCCACCCGAATAATTGAGGCAAATTTGGTAAAAACCCATAAAATACACCAAGAGTAGGAGGTTCTTACCCTTCCTCTAGAAAATCATCAAATATTGAATATTTCTGCTAGTTTGAGCCCTATTTCAAGTTACTTCTGTTCCTGAAACTGACAAAATATATTCTATTTTAGTAGTAGGTCTTCCATTTTATCAACTGATACCAAGAAACAGCCAACAAAATCATAAAACCATTGTAGAAAACACCTCAAAGCTGCTATTTTAACCCTCTGACTGTTTCGGTCGGATATATACTTCTAACGAGCAACCATGTTTGACGTATATATACTCATAAATTCTAGTGACTTCAAATCAAGCAGGAGAAAGCTGGTAGGCCCACATGTAAGAGAATGAGTCTGTGTGGTCAGTGTGCACCACATAAAAAAATCCTGCAGCACGCAGTGCATGAGAAAAAAAAAACTTCGACCTTTTTTTTTAATTAAAATGCCGACTTTGTGGTCTATTTTCGTATAGTATTCATGGTTGTATTCTCGTTTTCTTGGTCTCAATTGATAGAATGGAAAACATATTATAGAAAGAGAGGCGATTTTGGTTTTACTATGAAAAAAAACCTGGAAATGGAGCTCAAAGTAGGGGAAATATTTGATTTTTGCCAATGTTTGTTCAAAAGTAAACAAATGATGTCATTTTCCAATAAATTTCCAAGTAGCTATTCTAGTATGCAGTCATGACTGGGTTGACATTATTTGTACAATTATTACAATACTGCAGTAGTCTGCATGTGGCATG